GTCCTGAGAAACAAGAAAACCTGGAAACCACACAAAATATAGGCAAAAGCTTCCTGGAGCATTAGTGAAAGGTTTGAGATCATTTTCCTGAATGATACTACTATAAGACTAAAGATTTAAGAATGCTGGGCTGGAGAGATGGTTCAACGGCTGCTTTCCTGGAGGACCCGAGTTCAATTCCCAGCACCCACATGGTGGCTCACAACCATCTGTAATGAGATATGGCGTCCTCTTCTGGCCGGCAGACATGCATATAATAAGTAGATTAAAAAGTAAATAAAAGATTCAAGAATGCTGGGACCAAGCCTCTGTCGGACGGGTCAGCGTGCTGTGCTCCCCGTGTCTCTGGAGAGGAACCAACACTTCCTCTGATAGCTGTGGAGGAGTGGAAAGAATCTTGAGTCTGAGGAGGAAGCCAAAGTCCCTCTGAGCCTCTGGTACAAACGTACCGATCATGCGTAACCCGACAAAAAGATGCTTACAATGGAATGAAACAGTAGAGAAACCAGAACAACCTATAAGCTAATGTATGTGGTACTGTGAAGTTTTACAACTTATAAGAAAAGAAAGTTAATATGGGATATTTAGGGGAGGAAACAGGAGGTTAGTAAGTACAAGGACCCAAACACATCAAAGGTTATCTTCTTTCTCTCCCTCTCTCTCTCTTTGTAATTTTATTTATTTATTAAAGATTTCTGTCTCCTCCCCGCCACCACCTCCCATTTCCCTCTCCCTCTCTTTGTAATTTTGTTTTTGAGACAGGATTTTATTGTGTAGCCTTGGCTGTCCTGGAACTTGCTCTGTTGATGTGGGATTCCCCTCTATGCTATGAATACCATTGGTGAATAAAGAAACTGCCTTGAACTGTTGATTGGGTGGAACTTAGGTAGGCGGGGAAAACTAAACTGAATGCTTGGAGAAAGGAGGCAGAGTTAGAAGAAGCCATGTAGCTCCACTGGAGACAAGACACTGGAACTTTAGCTGGTAAGCCACAGAGAAGTGGCGATACACGCTCAGGAAGCAGAGGCAGGTGGACCGATCTTTGTGAGTTCAAGGCCAGCCTGGTCTACAAGAGCTAGTTCCAGGACAGGCTCCAAAGCTACAGAGAAACCCTGTCTTCAAAAACCAAAAAGAAAAAAAAAAAGATTTATTTCTCATGTATACAATGTTCTATCTGCATGTATGCTGCAGGCCAAAAGAGGGCACCAGATCTCATTACAGGTGGTTGTGAGCCACCATGTGGTTACTGGGAATTGAACTCAGGACCTCTGGAAGAGCAGCCAGTGCTCTTAACTGCAGAGCCATCTCTCCAGCCCTTTTTTTTTTTTTTTCGTTTTTCGAGACAGGGTTTCTCTGTGGCTTTGGAGCCTGTCCTGGAACTCGCTCTGTAGACCAGGCTGGCCTTGAACTCACAGAGATCCCCCTTTTTTTTTAAGGGTAAATTTTCCATAGAAAAAGACGATATCTCAGACTTCAGAGACAGCAGAGCATATGCTGTGTCAAAGGAAATAGCAAACCGTTTCTTGAATAAATAGTAGCTGTTCTTACTATTCCAATATTTGGCTATCCTCTCAAACCCAATTGCTAATAAATGTAAGACCACTAGCTAGATGGATTTGTCCCATACTCCCAACCACAGGGAGACTCTTAGTGGCTAGCCTGAGCTTTATAAGAAGTTTAAGGCAAGCATGTGCTAACCATAATTTTATGTGGAAAATTAACAAAACTGAAACTAAAAGTAGTGGTTCAAAAAATTAATACAGTCAAAACACAATGACACGATTATGGAAATGCCATGCTGAAAACCATTTGCATGCCAAGCAAAACAAAGTGTGGTGCCTCAATCTGTAACCTCAGCCCCCAGGAGCTGGAGAACTCAAGGCCCTCTCGGTATAGTGAATTCAAGGCCATCCTACGGATGGGAAACCAAACAACCTCAGGATAAAATTGGAATGATACTGAGCTGAGCACATGCAGATTCGTGAAGCGTTCCATATTATTAAAGCAGCCTAAGGAAAAGATTTCGAAGGTTTCAGCTCCTCGAATTAGTGGCAAACACTAAAATTAACAGTGAAATTCTTGTGTGTATGAGTGGTGTGTCCATGGATAGCTATAGAAGCCGAAGGTCAGTGTTGGGTATCTTCCTCAACCGGTTCCACCTTGCTTCTTGAGACAGTATCTCTCACTGACCCCTGACCCTGATGCTGTTTTGGCTAGACTGACTCCGAATCCAGCGGTGACATCACAGGCGTGCTTCACCACACCGGTTCTGGGTACCGGATGTCTAAATCTAGGTCCTGGTCATTTGAAGGAAGGACACCCAAGGTTATTTTCTGGCCTTCTCATGTGTGTGTGTACACACACACACAGCCGAGTAGAAGATACTAAGGAGATGGCCCAGTCAGTTATGTACCTACCGCACACTGGAACCCCTGAACCGATACAAGAGCCAGGCACAGAGGTGGGAATCCGTATCCTCAGCTCTAGGAAGTCAAAGACAAGCAGAACCCTAGCGCTTACGGGGCAGTCAGCCTAGCCAAATTATCAATAAGTCCAGTGAGAGTACCTGTCTCAAAAGCACACTCGAACGCGCGGGCGCACACACACACACACACCTCTGTAAAAAGCCGCACTAACGAACACCATAGGAGGAATGTCACTCACGTGCCAAGCTTTAGCCACTAGAAACTGGCAATTGGAACTGCGGTGAACTGGAGTAAACTGTGAAGTAGCCTTCCTCTTCTCTTAGCTTTCCGTTCTTCCCTGACATGTCTCTGAGGAACGTCTCTAGGGCTTGTCATCTGATCTGTGTCTTCAATTATCAGGCCATCCTTCACAGATTTATTGTTCTTTGTCTAAAAAGCATAAAAGCTCCATTTCCTTAGACTTCACTCTGTGTGTGTGTGTGTGTGTGTGTGTTTACACGTGTGCTCTCTCAGCAAAGATCCTGCTGCTAGCTCTATGTGTAACCCTGTCGATGTGACTTTAAGACTTCTTCCATTAAAAGATAGGGTCATCCGGGTGGGGTGGCACACACCTTTAATTTCAGCACTCCAGAGACAGGGGCAAACAGATTTCTGTGAGAGTTTGAGACCAGTCTGGTTTATATAAGGAGTTTCTGGCCATTCAGTAAGACCCGGCTCACTGAAACAAAAGAAAAGAAAAGTAGACTCCATCTCCCCAGCCTTTGAATTCTGGTTGGCATTAAAAATTGCAGGCAGAATGTAGCAGAAGTAACGATATAATAGATTTGACTTGAGCATTAACGCACACCTTTGGAGACAGACTTTGTTATACTGCCCAGAAACAACCATGCCTTCCCACCCATGGCAAAGAGTCATAGCACCCTGAAAGAGCTCCAAGAAGGGAGGGTTGTGCTGGTTTTATTACCCCGTTATGGAAAGTAAAACTGCTCCGAGCCTCTCAGCAGATCTGTAAACATCATCAAACAAAGCTGTCAGTGCCATTTGCTCAGAAATGCCGGCATGTCTCCCAACAGTTTGTTAAGAGTTAGCAGAGCTGACTGATTGGCAGTGAAATAAATCTGCCACCACAGAGCGCCTGTGGAATGGAGAGGTAGCTCTCTTGGTAGAATGGGTGTCTATCATGTGGGAAGCATTCTGTTCAATCCACATCATCCCCAAAGGAACCAGGTGTGGTGGCCCATGCCCAGAATACCAGCTTTTGGGAGGAGGAACCAGGAGAGTCAGGAGTTCAAAGTCGTCCTTAGCGACAGCAAGTTTGAGGTCAGCGTTGTTGCTAAAGAGTCCCCTGCAGGACTGGAGAGATGGCTCAGAGGTTAAGAGCATTGCCTGCTCTTCCAAAAGTCCTGAGTTCAATTCCCAGCAACCACATGGTGGCTCACAACCATCAGTAATGAGGTCTGGTGCCCTCTTCTGGCTTTCAGGCATACATGCAGACAGAATATTGTATACATAATAAATATATATATATATATAAGAGTCCCCTGCAAAGTGATGTACTCTCAGGAGGTAAGCCTCAGTGTCTGCTGTGGGCAGGTTAGACATGTCAGTGGCAAGGTTGAAGTCCACACTGCAGAACCTAACCTCCAACCTGCCTTTGTGTCATTTTGCTCATCCATTACTTCATAAAGCAAGCATGCAAGGAACCGGTCGAAGAGACCAACTGGATAGATTAAGGAGGTGTGGTCTTCCTGGATTCCTCCAGGAAGTGTGTCACTGGGAGGTTTTAGATGCCATGCACCATTCCCGGATCACTCTGTTTTTTTTTTGCTTGCGGTTCCAGGCGTGAGCTCAGCTGTCCCTGTCACTGCATATGCTGCCTCCTACCACAGTTCCGTGTCCCAGTGGACTCTTATCCCTCTGGAACCGTAAGACTCTATGAGTTGCCTTGGTCCCTGTGGTTTTAGTGTAGGAACGGGAAAGCAACTAATAAGCCAGGAAATAAGTTTTCCTCTTTTATCCCTGAAAGGACTAAAGTGAGTTAGATGCTGTAGCTCATGCCTTTTTTTTTTGTTTTGTTTTGTTTTGTTTTTGTTTTTGTTTTTCGAGACAGGGTTTCTCTGTGGCTTTGGAGCCTGTCCTGGAACTAGCTCTTGTAGACCAGGCTGGCCTTGAACTCACATAGATCCTCCTGCCTCTGCCTCCCCAGTACAGTCAAAAGCCACCACCACCCGGCTTCTCTGTGTAGCTTTTGACTGTACTGGAACTTGCTCTATAGACCCAGTTGGCCTGGAACCACAGAGATCCGCCTGTCTCTGCCTCCAGAGTGCTGGGAATAAAGGCATGTGCCACCATTGCCCAGCTTGTTTTTGTGGTTATTTTTCTTTGACACAGGGCTCTCTGTCTGGCTCTGGTTGCTCTGGAACTCCCTCAGTAGTCTAGGTTGACCTTGAACTCCAGAGATCCACCTGCCTCTGCCTACCTGCTGGGATTAAAGGTATGGACCACCAGGCAAGGTCTACTGTGTTAAAAATACTGTTACAATCCACTGGAGGAAGTTACAGACACGAGGCCAGATCAGAATCCTTTATTTAATCTGTGGCTGTGGTGACAGTCCTGCCGCAAAGAACTTTTGGCCCCTAACTTGAGCACTACAGGATTTATAAAGACAAAACACAGTGACATCACACCAGGTGCAGGCTAGAGGAGTTTTTGTATCAGGGTTATTTCCCAGCAAGCAAGGAGGAACCCTTTGATCTGTTAAACATTTGATAAGCTTCATTTCCCAGAAGACAGGAGAAACCCTCCTTTATTCCAGGCAGCAGGATGAGGCTCCAGAGGGGAACAGGTGTGGAGTCAGGACAGTCTGACCTCTCCTGAGCTGTCTCGGTGGGGTCTCAATCTATATCCAAGGCTAGCTTTGAACTCATGGTGGTTAGTCTTCCTCAGCCTCCTAAGTACTGGAGCTACAGGCCCAGCTTTAGAACTTGGCTTGTGGTGGCACCTGGTTTCACAAGTTCCACCAACAAACAGCCCCCACTCCTAGGGATCACCACCAAGTGAAGATGAATATCCAGAAGCATGTATAGGGGTCCTTGCTCAGATGGTACCTCTGAGGGGACACCATATACCCCTTGGCTCTAATGTCCTTCTCCAGGCAGTACACAAAGTCCTCCGACCCAGGGCCTGCCTTCCAGGGCCCAAATTTGACGACGGGTGTCTTTTTGGCCTCCAGGATATGCAGCGGCTCCACGCACTTGGCCTCCTCCTCCTCCGTGTGCACCACACACACCACCACCTTGGACGAGCGCATTGCCACGGCCTCTGCCCGAGCCAGGTGTAACAGGACCTCCAGGTTCTCCCTGTAGTTTGGCACTCCCAGCAAGAACTGCATGCGAGCCACCTGCTCACCGAAGATCTGGGGCATATCCTCCAAAACCTTCACCAAGAGATGGATCTGGTAGAACTTAGCCTCGTGGTAAACCTCAGGAATGTTCTCTGTGGGCACTTGCCCAGTGCGTAGGTAGTCCAGGATAGGCCCGAAGTAGGTGCCAGGGCGATCAATGAAGAAGCGGCCGTGGGCATCCTTGTAGAATTTTGCTGATCGGGATAATATCTCAGAGAACTTTGAGCCTGGATGTTTCATCAGGGTGCCCATAGTGGTGGTGTAGAACTGTCCACCTACGTTCAGCTCCACTACCTGCAGACACAAACGGCGGCGTGAACCAACAGTCGAGGAGACACACTGCGACAACCTACCAGGGGAGGTGCTGTCTGCAGTGATAAAAGTGAAGGCTGCATTTCCAACCTGAAGGTTCAAGTACAGATCAGGGTGGGGGCCAGTGATGGGGACGGTCCTTCATTTTGAGGTAGGCATGGCCTCATTCTCAACCTGTCTGTCTCACAGCCTCTTAGGATTTAAGTACTGTCCTGGAATTAGGAGACCCCAAAACAAGCCAGCTGCTGGGGTGGGGAGCACTGAGTTACCAAGTCAACAAGTCCTACAGGGGCTATTTCAGCTGTGTGGGGGTGGTGGCAGGAGAAGAAGGAGCCAGATCATACAGCTGAGGAAAGGAAACTCAGAATGTTTGCCTCTCCTAGACTTCAAGGCCCCTTGGCAAGGCTGTTTGGTTAACCTTGAGATCACCTCGAAAGAGCAGGGAGTTCTCAAGGAGCTACAGACTAAACCTTGAATAAATCACTCTGCTGGCAGTTCCTATTCTGCAGACGCTCAGCTTCTAGGTCCTCTCAGTGCCCTCATTTTACAGATAAAGAAAACCCAGAGGAAAGATGCATAGACCAGGGAAGTGATGAAGTGCAGCTAGGATCAAATGCCCACCAGACGGTCTAACTCACGTCAGGGTGGGTGTTCCAGCCCAGCCCATGCCAAGTCCTGCCTCACTGAAGCCCATGTTAGCAACCTGCCTGGGGAAGGAAGCTCACTCCTTACCTTAAGCCTTGACCTCTGTGAAAACGGAAGCAAGATGGACACAGAGAACTCAAATCTTTCCAACTCTCAAAGTCTAATCCACCCAGTCGCCTCAAAAGTCCTCTCCAGCCGGGCAGTGGTGGTGCTCACCTTTAATCCTAGCACTCGGGAAGCTGAGGCAGACGGATCTCGCTGAGTTCAAATTCAGCTTGGTCCACAGAGTGAATTCCAGGACAGCCAGGACTACACAGTGAAATCCTGTTTCAAAAAACTAAAGCAATAACCCAAAGGAGTCCTTTCTGAAGCTAATTTACAGAAACCATTTTCCTAGCTAAGCTGTGGTAGCCCGAATGTCATTCAGCACTCAGGAGGCTCAGGAGTGTTTGTGCCGTGGCTATACAACAAGACCCCATTTCAAACAAAGCAAAACTAGTTTCCTACTCTACCACCCTGCGCGACGCTGTTTAGTTTATCTTATAAGACCTCAGCCCTGTCCACAAGCTTCTTTATTCTGTGTCTTTTTTTTATTTTATTTTATTTTACTTTTATTGATTTTATTGAGCTCTACATTTTTCTCTGTTGCCCTCCCTGCTTCTCCCCTCCCCTTAAACCCTCTCCCATGGTCCCCATGCTCTCAATTTACTCAGGAGATCTTGTCTTTTTCTACTTCCCATGCAGATTAGATCCATGTATGTCTCTCTTAGGGTCCTCATTGTTGTCTAGGTTCTCCGGGATTGTGACTTGTGTCTTTTTTTTAAAAAAAAAATTCTTTCTCCGCAAAGTTCCCAGCCTCTGTGCAAATCTTAGCTTCCTATCTCATCCATACACACTGCCCAGTGTGCTCCTAGAACGATGAACTTCTTTTTACTCTCTGGAGGAAGGCCCCTTTTCATCTTTATTACCAATCCCCTTGCCAGTTCCTGGGTGGGTGGGAAAGCCTTGGTGAGTGGCTGGCAGAGACTTTGCCTCTGGGGGGAACCTGCTGGGTGTGGAGTCTGTGACAGCCATGGAGATGCAGGGAGGGACCTGGCTAATCTCTCACCCAGTTTGGTCAGAAGGGTCCCTACACCTTCCTGGGTCTACCCAGCATTTATACATTATCTGAGCCTCCCCTCCCCCAGCTGAGTGAATGAGTGGCATCTCCACTCAGATGTTCTCAGGCCCCCAACATTGACCCCTTCTGCTGTTTCCCAGTTAGCTGAGTCAGAAGCCCAGCATAATGTGGTTTTTCCTTGATCTTAGTCTCCCCTACACACTTACTCACCACCAAGTCCTGGCAGTCCTGTTGCTTTGCTAAGTTCTGTGGCCCTTGCTAGGGCCTGCCCCTGGATCGATTCTGCACACTCAAACCAGATTTCCTTTTCTCTGAAGCAAACCTGAGTCTCCTGCACTAAACACTTGAATAGCTTGAGGTTACCCATGCTCTTTGCAACAGGCCTACTGCTTGGCCTCTAGCAAAGCAGAACAAAATCACCTACTGCAGCCCTCCCTCTATCCATGGTGGGTTGGGGTCCCAAGCCCTCAGGACTTCACTCTCTTACGGCTTGCTTCCTATCACTGAGTCTACCCATCTTTCTTTTCTTTCTCTTTTCAATTCTTTTTTCTTTCTTTCTTTTTTTTTTTTTTGAGACAGCATTTCTGTATAGTCCTGTTTATTCTAGAACTCACTCTGTAGACCAGGCTGACCTTGAACTCAGAGATACTTGTGCCTCTACCTGGGATTAAAGGTTCCCCAGGGGCCTTCCAGAACGGTGGTCTTATGATCCCAGAGTGACAAGTCATTCTAAGTTTACAGTAGCCTCTCCCTTGGGATCTCCTGTGTCCTCATCCTCCATTAGACTGGGAGGTTTGAAAGGGGAACGCTATTCCTCTCTGCCATACGAGTCACCAGCACCCACTAGCAGGGCTCAGCACACCAGAGACACTAGCACCCACTAGCAGGGCTCAGCATACCAGAGACACTCGATGAATACCTGTTAGAATGAAGGAAGTTTACCCTTGGCCCCAATCCGCAGCAGGACCTGGTATTCTGATAAACGCAGATCTTGCCCTACCTGGCATCAAGCTCAGTGCTGGCTCCCTGAAAGGCCTTCACCCAGGAACTCACTAAAGCCCTTTTTCTTTTCTTTTTTTTTTTTTTTTTTTGGTTTTTCGAGACAGGGTTTCTCTGTGATTTTGGAGCCTGTCCTGGAACTAGCTCTTGTAGACCAGGCTGGTCTCGACCTCACAGAGATCCTCCTGCCTCTGCCTCCCAAGTGCTGGGATTAAAGGCGTTCTGCGCCACCATCACCCAGCTACTAAAGCCCTTCTTGAGCAGGAACGATGGACACCCTGAGTGCTGAACCTCTTGACACTAGGCAGGTAGCTTTGAAAACAGCCGGCAATGACATAATCATCACACTATTGGAAGGAGCCACTTGCCCTGCTTCTGGGTCTGCTCTCTCCCCTGACTCAGTGCTGTTGAGAATAAGAATTTTATTCTCTCAGTGTGCACCCAGACTTACTGTTAGCTACTAAGTGAGGCAGGCACCTTTAGGGGCTAACTTCTACACTAAATGGGGGGGGGGGTGGCATGCCACCTACTTACCACATTCTCAAAGCTGTCTCTTCTTTAATTTCAACTAAAACTCTGGGGAAGTTCATTGAGTTTTCTGATTTATTTATTTATTTTAGGCAACCACCCTAACAGAGTGAGCATGTCCTAACAGAGTGAGCGTGTCCTAACAGAGTGAGCATGTCCTAACAGAGTGAGCGTGTCCTGACAGAGTGAGCGTGTCCTGACAGAGTTCACATTGGCCTTTGTTTTGTTGTTGTTTGGTTGGTTTGGTCTTTTGTTTGCTTGTTTTTGTTGTTTTTTAGTTTTTCTAGGCAGGGTTTCCTCTGTGAACCAGGCTGGTCTTGAACTCACAGAGACCCACCTGCCTCTGCCTCCCGAGTGCTGGGATAAAAGGCCTGTGCCACCACCACCTGGCTTGGTTTTTGTTTTTAAAGACAGTCTCCAGAAGCCCAAGCAGGATTGTGGGTATGTGCTGTGGAATTCAGTTAAAGAATGATTCTTATTAATTCTTGTTCCTGTTTTGTTGACAGTGCTGGAGATTATGTCCTGATCCTCCCACTGAGCCACATCCTGAGCCTTTGAGCGTTTGATCTATGAACTAAAACTGAGTGTGTGCTCTCCTGTGTGGACATGTATAGACTTCTTCAATAAAATGCCCACCCTTCCTTCTTGGGGTCTAGCACTACTGTGAGAATAGCCCCAGTGTTATCCTCATTAGTTACTCTTTCTCCCTTCTCCTCCTCCTGGCTTTGCACACAGCAAATGCCATTGTGCTCCCAAAGTCCTGTCACCCAGCCCATGAGAGAAGGCAAGTAAGCAGGGCACTCTTTGGGGCAGAGGGACAGTACGGGAGCTGGCCAGGCTACCCCTATCAGGCAGAATAAAGGATTGACTGAAGTACCCTCCCCACCCCACCCCCGGACTATGCAGAGCCAGAGGTTTTCAGAGGGGACACACAGAGGAGCTAACACAGACTAAGTGAGGTGAGCCAGGGAAGAAAAGAGCAAGTGAGAGAAGGCACAAAGCTTGGTGGAGCGGGAGGGGGGACCGCACAGGTATCAAAGGAGTTTACTGACAGGCGTAAGAAGATGCTCCCCGGGGTGGGGGTAGGGGGACTACTGGAGGGTGGGCGAATGAAAACGGAACGGAGCTAGGAAAGCATCTGGCGGGGGTTGGAGGTGGGGCGTTCAGGACGACAGGAGCAGCCCTGAGCGCACTTACAATGTCCGGGTCAAAGCCCAAGATCCTGGACTCCTGGCTGCGTTCCTTGAGTTGGTTGGCGGGCAGAGACTCCTGGCTGAGCTCCTTGAGTTGGTTTGCCGGCAGGCTCATCCTGGTGGGAAAGGACAGCTCGGAATGACCACACAGCACCGCCTTATGCTGATAACTTATGGGCGGGAAACACAGTCCTGCCACGTGTCGAAAACTTCCCAGCCAGAGAGGCTCATGACTCCACGCCCCTGAGAAACTCTGTGCCTCCCCTTGCCTCCTTTGTGAAACATCTGTAGTACTTGCTTGTTTAGCTGGCTTAAAAGCCCTCTGAGGTGTTGAGCACCGACCCCACTGGGTCTTTGAACTGTCATCAACTTCAAGTAATCTATAATCTTTTAGGGAAGTGGTACTAGGAGACAATCCCGGGGCTTTCAGAGGGTAGATGTCAGACCAGAGACTATAAAACGGTAAGTAAGAAGAAGAAGAAAAAAAAATGCTGCCACTCAAGGCAAGCGCTGTGAAACTTACCTGTTCCATGCCTTAGTTCTGAGTGAGAAAAGTCTTCTCTAAAACATATTTACACTACGGGAGCCCAGTACGGTCATCAGCAGCGACAACAGCCAGACACTTGATTCAAATGAAACTGATTAGACGCTGCAATCACACACTTGGCAAAGGAAATAAAACCCAAGAGACTGGAGCATGGTTCAGTGACAGCACACTGCTTAGCCTGTATGAAGTCTGGTTTGAGCCACAGCAAAACGTACAATACCCACAAAGAAGAGAGCTAGGAAAGCGGGAAGGAAGGAGAAAATGACACCCACCGTGTTCGTGTCCCGCCGTGTGTGTGTGTGTGTGTGTGTGTGTGTGTCCCATAAAAAGATAATAAAACGAATTTTCAAAGAATGTACACAGATAGCAAGGAGTCCTCAAAGAAGCTCACTGTCCAAAACCACTAACAACCACTAAAAGAAACAAAGTGTCCGTCATAGGAAACAAAAGTCAAAAGAAACAAGCCCGGGCCCCTCATGTACAGGGTGAACGGATTTAATGTCATGAGATAAATGAAAGAGCGCATCTAAAACACGGGCTGCAGGTGTGGGTATGTGGTAGTGCATTGCCTAACATGCACCGGACCCCGTCCTAAACACATCTACAGAATCAAAACCACACCTAAACCCAAACGTGAGTAAAGAATAAGAAAATACAATGTTTTAAAAGACCAGGGAGATTTTTTTTATTATTATTTTTATTTTCGAGACAGGGTTTCTCCGTAGCTTTTGGTTCCTGTCCTGGAACTAGCTCTTCTAGACCAGGCTGGCCTCGAACTCACAGAGATCTACCTGCCTCTGCCTCCCGAGTGCTGGGATTAAAGGCGTGCGCCACCACCACCTGGCTGAGTAGGGAGATTTTTTGAGCCCAATAAAACCTCTAAAAATGCAACACTAAGGTAGCCAAAATAAGCCCTTCTGCAGCTTAGAAGGATTTAAACTAACGCAGTTGAAGGAGCAATGATGTGTGTAATGATCTGTCCTGTCCCTTTAAGAGACAAGCCACACCCACTCCCTCCTCTTCTGGGAACTGTAAGAGCGAAAGCCTGTGAAGTCTGGGAGGCAGGAAAAGGAGTGTTCAAACTTTGCTGGTTGGAATATGAACTGCTGTAATCTTTAGACGTTAATATAACCGACTCTATGTAAAGACATGGAAAATTTTAAGAAACTTTGCTTGATCAGGAGTTGGTTAGGGCTCTGGGTTCAAGATACTTTATAGCATCAAGAGTTAGCTGGAAACAGAAACCTTTGCAAAAGCACAAACTATGAAATGTCCCTAGCAGAAGTAGCCCACACCTTGCGTCTAGTGAACTGACCCTAAATGAACCTAGTTTGCAGTTCATAATGTCAACCCCAGATGATGAGGGGGGTCTCCTCCCTACTGTGCTGCATCTAGTGTTGTGGTCCCCAGCCTGGCTGGAGAGTGTGCTGAGTAAACCCTGCTTTTGCGTTTTTGACTTGACTGGATTCCGGTGGTGGTCTCTCTGAGGGTTCTCAACTTGGGCACAACATCTAAAACAAAACGAAACAAAACAAAAAACCCACTTTTGGTTATCCACCCAACAGAAAAAAAAAAGGCCCATTTTGTATGAATATATTTACCACTGATCTGTTTGTGTTAGCCAGATTAGCTACAGTTAGCAGCTGAGTAAACCTCAGTCTGTCTTTGCCCTGCAATGCTGTGTGTCTGTTGAGAAGATAGGGAGGGACTGGGGAGGCGGCTCAGCAATTAAGAGCGCTTGTTGCTTTTTCAGAGAACTAGAGTTTGGTTCCCAGCACCCACATCAGGACGCTCACAACTACCTGTTAACTTCAGTTCCGGGGACTCTGCTGTCCTCTTCTAGCAGGAGAGAGGGAACTTAATTGAGAAAATGCCTCCATCAGATTGACCTGCAGACAAGTCTGTGGGGGATTTTCTTTACTGATGGTAAATGCGGAAGAACCCAGCCCACTATGGGTGATACCATCCCCAGGCAGGTGGTCCTGGGGTATATAAGAAATCAAATTGAGCAAGCCTGGCAGAGCAAGCCAATTAAGTTAAATGAATGTAAGCAGTGTTCCTCCGCGGCTTCTGTTTTAGTTCCTGTCTCCAGTTTTCTGCCTTGAGTTTCTGTGGTGGTGGCTTCCCTCAATAAACTGTGACTTGGGATAGATAAGCCAAATAAAACCTTTCTTCCCCAAGCTGCTTTTGATCATGGTCTTTATCGAAATAATAGAAACCAGTGTTAACTGCCGTTATCCAGTTGGTTGGGTGTAGGAATGGAGAGACTTTTTGTTGTTAATATATCTTTGCATTGACATTAGTTACATAAAAAGGTGAAAAAACGAAAAAGCAAGAAGTCAGCTTTTCAACGTGAACAATCTAGAAAGGCTGATGAGAAGAGTGGCAGGGAAGCTCGGTCTTGATGGAGAATGGTGTTCACTTTTGAGAGACCCGAATAGATTTTTCATTAGAATGTTGTACAAGAGAAGGAGAGACAAGGTATATCTATAGTCCTGACTGTCCTGGGACTCACTATGTAGACTGCTTGCTCTTGTCTGGCCTCGAAGTCACAGAGATCCACCTGCCTCTGCCTCCTGAGTGCTGGGATCAAAGGTGTGTGCCACCATGCCCGGTTTGAACGCTGTGTCTTATGTAACAAATATCTATGGGCAAGGAAATGAAGTGTGAAGAAATGAAATGAAGACCATATAGATTTCCAGAGCCAACTTTGAGCTCTGTGACTGTAATTCTGTTGCTAGACAGACATTAGGACGACCTTGGAATTGAGATGAGTAGCTTGAAGTAAAACGATCCCCCCCACTATGGGTGCCACCATCCCCTAGGCAAGGGATCCTCCACTGCATAAGACTGAGAAATCAGTTGGTCATTAGCCTAGATGGGCTCCTGTCTTTGTGACTTCCCCTCTACTATGGACTGCAACCTGAACTGGGTGCCAGATAAACCCTCTTTTAGCTTGCCTTTGTCAGAGTTTTATCAAAACAAAAGTTACTGTGACAATGACTTTTCTCTCTCACTCGTCCTCTCTCTTGACCATGAAGAGTTAATTACTTTGTATCACAGTGCATTGATCCATTTTCTGTCACTATAGCCAACTTTCTGAAGTTAGGTGTTCTATAAAGAAAAGAGACTTGCCTGGTTGGTGGTAGTTTGGCACATGCCTTTAATCCCAGTACTTGGGAGGCAGAGGCAGGTGGATCTCTGTGAGTTTGAGGCCAGCCTGGGCTACAAGAGCTAGTTCCAGGACAGGCTCCAAAGAAACAAAAACAAAAAAAGAAAAGAAGGAAGGAAGGAAGGAAGGAAGAAATAAAAGAAAAGAAAAGAAAAGGTGGTGGCGCACGTCTTTAATCCCAGCACTTGGGAGGCAGAGGCAGGCGGATCTCTGTGAGTTCGAGACCAGCCTGGTCTACAAGAGCTAGTTCCAGGACAGGCTCCAAAACCACAGAGAAACCCTGTCTCAAAAAAGAAAAGAAAAAAAAAAGAAAGAAAGAAAAGAAAAGAAAAAAGAAAAGAGATTTATTCAGCTCACAGTTTTGGAGGACGCTAGATGAGAAATCCCTATTGATTCAGTCTCGGGTGAGGACTCCCCTGGCTGGGTCACATTATGGTGCATGGCGCCAGGGGAACACGTGAGACGGGAGAGATCACACTTTACACACAAAACCCAGAGAGAGACCAGGCAGAGGTCAGCAACGACCTCCGGCAGGGAGGTCCTAGCTTTTTTTTTTTTATGTATATATATATATATATTTTTACTTTTTTTATTTTTTAAATTTATTTATTTATTAAGGATTTCTGCCTCGTCCCCACAACCGCTTCCCATTTCCCTCCCCCTCCCCCGATCAAGTCCCCCTCCCTCATCTGCTCGAAGAGCAATCAGGGTTCCCTGACCTGTGGGAAGCCCAAGGACTGCCCACCTCTATCCAGGTCTCGTAAGGTGAGCATCCAAACTGCCTAGGCTCCCCCAAAGCCAGTACGTGCAGTAGGATCAAAAACCCACTGCAATTGTTCTTGAATTCTCAGTATTCCTCATTGTCCGCTATGTTCAGCTAGTCCGGATTTATCCCATGCTTTTTCAGACCTAGGCCAGCTGGCCTTGGTGAGATCCCGATAGAACATCCCCATTGTCTTAGTGTGTGGGTGCACCCCTCGTGGTCCTGAGTTCCTTGCTCGTGCTCCGTCTCCTTCTGCTCCTGATTTGGACCTTGAGATTTCTGTCCGGTGCTCCCATGTGGGTCTCTGTCTCTGCCTCCTTTCAGGTCCTAGCTTTTAAAGATTCAACCAACTGCTAACATCGCCACTTGAAGCCACGTTTGCTCACACCACTCATACCCAATCCACAGCCACAGGCAAGGTATGCGCCTCCAGCAACATCCCTCGGCAAAAATGGCCAAGCCGCGTAGACCGGGGCTATGATCTCCTAGAGTCACGATTCCCTGATTTATACAGTCCACAGAGCACGTTGCTTTAAGCATTTGGACTCCCAGAGGGATTAATGGCAGACTGGGATGATTCCCGCAGGGAGCCAGCAGTTGCAAGGACCTTCAACCCTGAGTGGAGGGCGCAACACTGAGTAACAGCTTTTAGCTTCATTTCCTGTCTCCCCCAATCCAGCTGTCTGCTCTCCTTGCCTTTGTTCCTGCTGCCCCTTCTACCTTGAGTGTCCTTTGCCTAGAAAGCTCAGAGTGAGCTTTGAAAATGGATTTAGTCGCCCCCCCCCCCCCCCGCCCCGTCCCAACTTTTGTATTCATTAGCGCATTTAACCTCACAGTTCAGATACACCTCTGTTGCCGTGACCCCTCTCTCAGAGGCTGTAGCAAACAAGAGACCTGAGTGTTGCCTCTGGCTTTGCCACTGGGTCTCAGTATTTTGGCAGTCCCTGTTTTTTGTTCTCTACCTGTATAACACGGTAGAGGTTGGGGCATTATCTGAAAGCGCGTCCTTGTAATCTCATCTTGGTTCGTGCTCTGGCCACAAAAGAATTCAAAATGCTGCATGCCCTTGTCTGTGACTGGGTCTTCTTTCCCTCTGGCCTAGTTCCGAGAACAAGCGAACAGCGCTGCTCCCTTCTGCCCTCCTCCCACCGACCCCAGCCCTTTGTTCTTCTTCCCGAGACAAAGCTGCCAGTCCCGATACTCCCCAAGCAGTTGGGCTTCATGCCAGCCAGTCAAGTGGCAGCTGGGGCTCAGATGAAAGG